TTCATCAAACTGACTTTTAGTTAAGTTGAACTGTGTACATGTAAGAAGATAGATATGTCCAAGTTGACGGTTCAGTGCAGCCACTTCAGCCATTCTGACTTAAAAAAATAATAATTAAAATAAATAAAACAGCCAAAAATCATTGTTCGAGTTGACAGTTCAACAGCCCAGGTCAGCAGGTCACTGACCAAATCAATGGTTTTTGGCCCAAAAATGGCTTTAGGGTGAAATAGAACAGGTTCTTAGGTCAATCAGTTCGACCATCTGGTCTGACCCGATTTTCAAAACCATGGATCATAGTGTTGGATTTTAAGAACTGATCCTTAGGCACAATTTAGAAGGAGTACAAATACAAATTTGCAGTGCAAAACTTTATATTTTGTGTGTATATGTACAACGTTCAAAAAATTAACATGTATTGGTCTGTATCAACCAATACATATCGTATCGGGAGCTTCCCGATATGCCCCTACAGAGGATGTATTAGGGTTTTGACCAGTTCAGAGGATGCACAAACCTTAAACCGGCCCCTCTAAACTGGATTTGAAACAAATATTTTGTTTTTGCACTTTATAAATTTGTATTTAGGGCTCAGTTTGGAAAGAGTACAAATGCAAATACATACAAAATAATACAAAACATAAAGTTTTGCACTCTACATATTAGCACTTGTACTCCTTTCAAACTGAGCCTAGAGTGCAAAATGCATCTATAAATTTGTATTTATACTCTTTCCAAACTAAGCTTATGGATTAGGTTTCAAATATTCCACTTTAATCAATAAACTTATCGAAATCAGAAAATTAACCCAATTCAAATGATTTCCAACCGCTAATATATAAGCTTAAAACTCCAAAATTGTATGTGAGGGATAGGAATGAATTTATATGGGTATTGTGTAGTTACTTGTCTCTTTAGGCTATGTTCAGTTTGAAGGAAAAAGTAGGGAAAGGTAGGGAAACCTTTATAAACCTTGTATAGGTTTCCTGACGTTTTCCTTCATTTCCCTATCTTTTCCTTCAAACCAAACATAGCCTTAGAATTGAAGTCAAAGACCTCTCTTCCTCTCCCTCATTGTGTCTTTTGAGTAGACATCAGCCACCCACAAGGGGGCGCCTTACAACGTTCCACATCCCACATCCAATTATGTATTGGAAACATCTTCGGATGATAAGTACCAGAAATGATGAGACATCATCAAAAATGTTCTCAATACACGATTGGAATATGTTGTGGGACGTTGTAGAATGCCCCATCGTGGGGGGCTTATTTGAACTCGTAAGTTTTAAAAAATGTGTTTCTTTGCATTCCTAATTCATTCTTTTTGTTGGAAAATAGTAAAGAAGATAGAATGGAATTTATTGGTAATCGCTTTTCAAACCGAGAACTTGTAAATCTATAGCATTGTAGAATTGTGAAACTGAAAATTTGCAGAGAGAATGGGGGCTGAGTCATGCCACTTGATCATTCTCCTTAAAATTGCATTTGCCCCTACAGTGCAGTTGGGTGATTGCAAATTGGTCGCTAAAGATAAAATAGCCCACAGGCCACTAGTAGGCGTGCACTTGCTTACCAGACCTCCGCAAACAATAAAAAATGATGCTAAGATGGATTCTTAGAGAAGAACGATTGACAGAAAATGATGTGCACTAGTGTGTGTGTGTGTGTTTCTAGATCGACCAATACTCCTTTTATAGAATGTTCTCAATCACCCGAATGGACACAAAACTGTTCTTTCAAACGAAAGCAATTTCAGAACAATGCACTTATTCGAAGAGACACAAAGAGGAAACGACACAAAACAGAAAAAGAAAACGTTTAAAAATAAATTTTAAAATTTAAAAGTCAAATGTTTATTCCGGTCAAAACCAAAACAATAGTGTGTATATACACGTACATGTACAGACGCCCGCACCCCCAACTCGGACCTGCTTGGCATGTGTGTGAAAAGAACAAATTTATAAATATACTTCAATCAACTCTTTTTCCAACCAATATAAGACAATGACTCTTTTCATACATTGAAAAGTAAAGAAAGAAAAAAACAAAACTAAAAAAACGTAAGATTCTTAAAATTTTTAATCTTCCTCTAACACTTTTTTTCGTACGTATTGATAAGGCTAAGATAGATGGATGGTTTTGATATGCATTCAATGTATTATAGATGTCGGTGGGCATTGTAATGATAAAGCATCCAAATAACTACCGATGTGCTACGTATTAGAAATTAGAATGTCTGGTGCGGGAAGCTACTGCAGTTCAATTATTCATCTCCACCACCAGCCACATCATGCATGATCCAGCGACTCATGATGAGCGCTTTAGCTTAAAATTTGTCCATACTGCTGGCATCATGTCATGCCAGTTTTTAAGAAGTAACAACAGCATAGCATACACAGAGCCAAAGGGTACCTCTTCCGTTTTTCAGCAATAAATATCAGTCAATTCATTTATTTCTCCGTACTCCAAAAAAAAAAATGCAAATCAGTTAGATTCTCTTTATCAGAAATATGGCGAAATCACGAGTAGTTCAGGAATGATTTTTCTTTTTTTTTTTATGATTTTATGCTTTGAAAGGTGTAGAATTTAATGGGCTGTAGGATGTTATTCATTGCCCATAGGTAAGTGCCCTATATGAAAAGCTTAGAACTTTGGAAAAACAGTAATTTTCTTTTTCTTTTTTCACGGGGAATAAAGGAATTGATGGCTGGAAAAGTGGCAAGACCAAGCCAAGTGCATTTGAAACTTATCAAGTTTCTATTTCTGACTGTTTGGGTCAAGGAAAAAGGAATTCTTTTCCACCAAAAGACACGCCCATTGGCTTCTTTTGATTCGATGAAGCAGATGCATTGCATTGCTTTAATAAATACAAAATTAGTGGGTGGTCCTCTCCTCCTCCAGTTCACCATCTATTTAATTAATACGTGGAGGAGCAACTTGGTGAAGACGACACCATTAAAATCCATTCATCTTCTTCCATGTTTCCTAGTGCCCTGAATAGTTTTCCAAAGCCATGTGGTCGTATACATCTCTCCCCACTGTAAGAATAGTCCTTGTGTTAAGATTGACATGGACAGGGTTCAAAAACAAATGACGCCGTTAGTTGGACGTTTTTGTTACAGTAGGCAATAAGTTGCCATACTCCAGTCCACAAGCAAAACCGTTTGTGGTCACCGGGCCGGGGGTCAAATAGTGCAATCAGAGATGGCCATACTTGTACAGTCATAATAGTCTTCATAGCAGCTATAACCTTTAAAATGGATCTATAGCGGCGGATGATTTATTCTCTCTAAAACTGTCGCCAAAAACATTTAGGCGGAGTTTGGAAGGAGTACAAATGTAAATATGTAAAGTGTAAAACCTTATACTTTATATTATTTTATATGTATTTATGCTATACATATTTGCATTTCTTATACTCCTTCCAAACTGAGCCTTAGTGGCAAATTTCTTATACTTCAGCAGCAGACCAATTTTCTTTCTTGTAGTGTTGAAGAATGAAAATTACTTGGTTCTCACTTTCAACCACATCACATTAGACCCGACTCAATAACCCTTCTGCCAGTTTTTCAATAATTCAAAAACTGAAATATGTGCGAGTTTACCTACTGATCAGTACTAACCTTTTGCAATGTGCTTCCAACAAACCATCGGGTCATACTCATCTGCAGCTTCAATCTTAAGATTACTAGCATGTATGTTGGCACCATGCTCCTAATTACATGTTACAAATAGTTCTCTCCAATCACGGCCTCACTTTTGAGTGCAAGCTACACTGCATCTCAAACCGCACCTCTTACTCTTATATTCTGATTTTCCTATGAGACATGTAAAATGCTGTAAACCCTCTACAAGGTTCTGAAACTTAAGAATCAGCCATATGTATCAAAACTCAAAACTGTTTAACATTACACATGGGCATCCGTCCGTGACATGTTTCATGTTCATCAGTTCATGTAAAGGTGGCAAAGACAAACCAGGGACCCATCTGTTTTTTTCATATCTGCTTCAAGTCCAAATCACCTGCCAACAAAATACGAGAAAAAGTTTAGCCGAATGCTTTAGTTGTTCAGCAGGGTATAAATCACCTGACAACAAAATACGAACAAGGTTTAGCTGAACGTTTTAGCTGTTCATGGAACTGTGGAATCAATGATAAGATTCAACACCAGTACTAAATTCATGGGCCCCACAGCCCACTGAACAGCTAAAGCGTTCAGTTAATCCGAATGGGTCTCAACTTACCAACATCACACATATACATAATGAGTCTCACTTTTATGATGGGCCCCAATTTTATAATGAGATGTGCGGTGTCAGATCAAGTTGGTAGGGTGTTGGTGTTGGAACTTGTTTTGTTGGCAGGTGAGGGCAATTCATCTGCTTCACCCTTTGAATTTGGAATCACAAATTATGATTTAAATTGATCCGAATAGAGTAAACTAGGCCTACTGCACAACTTTTTTTTAAGCGAGGAGGCCTAAGTTGTTACCACAAACAGTTCTACGTACCAAAAAGGTTAAAAAAGTCGATCACTTTATTCATTTTCTCGCTTTCCCAAGTAACTAAATGCGAAAGTAGTGCAATGGGCAATAGGGAGAAGCACCTTCCACAAGGATCAAGACAAGGGCAAGAATCCACATCTTGGCACAAACGAGAGACAGCGATTACAAAATGGTGCTTCATAGTAATTGAAACATGGACAGATGCATCTGTTTTTCAGAAAAGCTCTGCTTTCCACTAAGAAGATGATAAGGAACTCTCAAGGAAATCCCTTTGCATTGGAAAAAGAAAAAGAAAGGGCACAGTTGACTCAAAGTTGAAACAAAAAACAAAAATATATAGATAAACTTTAAATCTTAAATGGTGAACCCTCTGTTGGACAATTCCCCATATCAGATGCTCCTTGTGCATTGTACAATTCATTCTGCTGGCACCGCAGTGCATAGGATGTAACAAAAGGAAAGAAAAGGGAAAATAAATAATGGCCTAAAAATAAACAACCTCATCTCCCACCCAGGCAGCATCTTTCATTATAGAACTCACAAGTTCACCCAGTGAAAATCTGCAAGTCTTTTAACCAGATTCTCACGCAACATCTACTCCCATCATTCCTTCTAAACGTCCTACTGCTGGAAGAAAGAAGCACATAAATAATGTCTACCTGTACAGGTGCAGCATATGCACCACCTTAAGTTTCACTCTCTTAGAAGTTGTCTCATCAGCTGAAGTTGCTTTCTTCCCCGTGTAGCGCTGAAGAGAGAGAAAGTCAATTGCATCTCAAAGGACAAAATAGTGACCATAAATAATGAAAACACAACATAAATCATTAACAATCTCAAATGTCAAGGGCTCAATTCAAAATACCTGTTTGCCGAAGGAGAATGGGACATATTTATACTTGATCATGTGTAATATCTGTCTCTTCATTGTGAGGATGAACAACACCACCCAGTAGAAAAATAGCACCGGCCAGAAAACAGGCACATCAAACATGCTAAAGAATGCCATCACAAAAGCAATACAAAAGGCTTTCGTGATAGCAAACCTGCCACATAGTCACTCACCTAACCATTAATAAGAATACACAATTGCACAGGTCTGAAATGAAACATCCAGGACAACTTGATCTAGTAAGAGATAATTGGATCTGAGAGAAACCCTGTGGCATATGGTTCCGGGAGCAATACCATGACCAACAGTAGTCTAAGACAACATAAACAACACAATTTTTATGTAGTTAAGGATAAAACCAATAAAGGAGACCTAAAATAGGAAATTGGCTGAACCTGATGCAGTGCTTTGTTACACCAAAAGCACTTTAAGCTAGGGTTAGATGATAAAGACACTACTAGATCAGCTCATCACTGAAGCATGTTTACTTATACAGTCTTGGGATGCTTGCTTACATAGGGAAATGATTTAGAATAGGATGCCTAAAACTATTCAAAAATACAAAGATAAAACCTCAACCAACAAATTATGAGTACCATACCCTTACCCAAAAAAAAAAAATTATGAGTACCATAGGAGTCAATAGAAAGTAAAACAAAGTATCCTTAAAATATTTTTTTATCAGTAAAAACCTCTTCTAATATGTATTACATATGAGAGGAGAGAGAGAGAGAAAGAGAGAGAGAATTCATTAAGATCAAGTCAATATCATTTACTTGTTTGAATACAAACAATAACACTGAGTCAATGTGGAACAAAATGCATAGACTTGTAACTTGGTTGGAGTTCCACCTGGTCCATGATCAACTGCTGCACAGAAACCCCTGAAGTCACATTTGTTCTGAGGCTGGTATGAAGTCTCATAACTGCCATTCACGTCCATAAGACACAGAATTTCTATCTAATAAAATTCGCCTTGCATATATCCATTCTGTGCTCATGTGATCCAGGTGCTTGGAATTTTGGAGGTCAGTGCTAGAGCAATATACCACATCAGAGGCATGAAACAAGAATTACATGTTGACAGGGGTAGGATAACTTTCATCAATTCCATTATTGTTGATCTGCCGCTTCTTTCCGTCTTTCAAATGGCCCATATCAAAGCTACAAATGGGATTGAGAAATAGAAAGCCCAGCCTGGCCCAAGATCACCCTTAGACTGAACGGTAAGGTTATATTTGGAATGGGGCAAAATAGAAACACATGGAAACACAAATCTGCTATTTTCTAGATTTTATTGTTTAGCTGTGAAATGTCGCTATTTACAATCCAGATAACACTGAATTTTTACTGCATTTTCACACTCACACACAGAAAAAAAAAAAAAAAGAAAAGAAAATCCAAATGCAGAGTTAATGAAAGAAGCAGGGTGGTGTAGATTATAGGCACCAAAACTTCATCCTTTACTCCCAAGTTCATTTTGCTAGAAGCAATCTCTGTTGTCCTATGGGTCAGAGTTGATAATAATGGATTGCTATTGGGATATCAGGTTAAGAAGAGGGATAAGCAGTGATTTAAAATGCGCACACGCAAGGCACACTTCAAGGCCTGTACCTCAGCTAGGCCCAGGTACAGCCCCCTTTAAAAAGGCGTGTGCCTAATGTGTCTATACATGCACTTGGTCCACCTTGCGCCTCAGCTCAGGCATGGTACGTCAAGGACTTGGTGCAAGGTTTAAAATATTGATACGATATGGGGTGTATCATATTGGTATCGACTATAACCAGCACGAGATACGCTATGATTGGAGATGAATCCTGCTAGTCATACATATCGGTCCAGATCACATTGTATCAGCCAATACGCACCAATATGCACCACCACACAATGATGCACCACACCCTTCTAATAAAAAAATGAGGATAGTGACGCCCAAGTCCTAAATACACCCTTAAACCACTAAGCTATCTTGCTTCTTTTGATAATAAGTGAAATAAAATAACTTTTATTAACTTTATTAACTACATGCAATCCAAATAAATAATACATATTTATGTTTAACAACTCCAACTAAAACTTAAAAAGAATAATATTCAAAATTAGTATTTTATAAACTAATGAAATAAATAATCTATCAAATCCACACTAAAATCAAAAGATGATTTTAATCTCTAGCAATTTATAAAAATAAAATATTAATAATAGAATAATTATTTTAGTACTTAATATTTATAAGTTTTCACATGATATATATATATATATATATATTAAATTTTTACACATCTTTTTAAAATTATTAATTAATATTTTAATTTACATTAAGTAACAACATATTTATTATTTACAAAAATGAAAAATGTTTACAAAATATTCAAGAATATAATGTTAGATTGAATCTATCAAATCAACTAATCTACATTTATATCAAAACATGATTTTTAACTTTATAAAAATTATAGAAATTAAAATTATTAATGGAATAATTATTTTAGTAATTAAGAATTACAAATTTGCATATTATATGTATCTTAGAAATTTTAACAGATTTGATATATTTTAAGTTCACATTATATATTTTTATAAATCACTATTTGATATTTTATTAATTTACATTTGATAATTTATAATTTGGTTAACTTTTTTGTTAATGTAAAATAGAAATAATTGATATCGTCCATTTATCAAAAAAATAATTGATATCATAATTAAAATATAGTAGGTGCATATGTTTTGTGTTTTGGACTCTTGATTTATCCATTATCAATAAAATTTTATGATATCTATGCATCCCGCTGTATTAATTGTAATATATTTTTTCATATACACCATTAAAATATACATTTCCTATATATTTTACATTATTTGTGGCTATTTGACCTTAAATTTAGTGTTATTAATGTATTTATGGAATTTGTATGTGTTTCCCTAGTGTATCCATGTGTTGTCAAAGCATTTCTATATCCATATTCGAGTTGTCCAATACGATACCCAATATTGATACTTTGATTCTTGCTTGGTGTAAAGGCATTTCATAGAATTAGGAATGCACGATGTTTAACATCACTAGGGTCGTTCATCAAACCGATGAAACCTACCAAACCTACCAACCTGACCCAATTCAAGTTGAGTTGGTCAATTTTCTATTATTTTTTGATTGGCCTCAATTTAGCTATTATGCTAACTCGAGAGGTTGGGTCAATTTCGGTTTATCCATGTGTAAACTGACCCTATATATATACATATATAATTTTTAATATGGGAAAGTGTGAAATTCCCATATTTCCTAGTTTAAAATATTTTATATTGTAAATTTAATTTTAAAAATATTTTTTAAAATATAAAAGTATTTTATATTTTTAATAATATCACTATAATTTTAAGTTAATATTTAAAAACTTTTGAATCAAATTACCAAACCAAACTAATACAACCTAAGTTGGTCTGTTTTCACTAATGGTTAGTAGATTTCGAGTGACCGATTCCCCAACTTGATCAGGTTGGTTGATTGGCCATACAGCTTGCAACCAAACCAAACTGACCCATGAACACCCCTAAACATCACATTATTAAGCTATTATTTATTAAAGAAAAGTAGTATACAAGGCATATACAACATGAGACAAGACAGCACTGCCTCAAACACAACACTAACAAGCTAAATACCCTAGAAGAGTCTAGACCAACATCTAACAGAATCAGGACTAGGCCTTGCAAAAACAACCAAATAAAGTAAAAACCACTAACCCTACAAAAGGGCCTAGATCCATTTCCACCCAAAAATGAGGCTAGGCCTATAAAGAGGTATCTAAACAACCAGACTAAACAACCACAAAACGAATACTTAAGTTGTTGAGTCCTTGAATATGATTTATATGTTATGTTTATGTATTTTAATTTGCGATAATAGGCTTTTTAAAACATTTAGTTTAAAAACAAAGTTTGCATTTTTTTAATTAGTACTACTTTTTAACACATTTCATTGGAAGGTGGCCACAAACTCATGAGAACGATATCTTTTCTACCCAGATACAGAAGGATATGGGGTCAGATACCAAATTTACATGAAAATTTAAAGTATCTAACACAATATGACACCCTTGTACAAGTGTTTGGGTATTATAGCAGTACATATAAATATGCTCCAACGGGGGAAAAGCCTAGAAAAGATATCGAAATGTATGTCTTTTTTGCAAAGAAAATGGAGAATAAGGTATTTGTCCCTTTATCTATCATCATGCCCATATTTGGTAACTAGTGGAAATGCCCCAAGATGTATTGGGGCTAGCTAGGAGATCATTCTCTCTTCCTAAAAATAAGGTAAGATCATCTAGAGGAATTCTTTGTTGCCACCACCTAACGTATTTGGGAGGGAACTCTAGACTCTAGCAATAGGCTAGACGCTTTTGGAGCTCTTCCATAGACCTAGTCACCATTGGAGTTGCACATTGCATTGCAAAAATTAGAGGACTTTACAAGTTTTCCTGTTCATTCTTTGTGAGAGTGGTAAATTATCCGCAAATGGATTACTGGATAATTTGAGGGTAGGTAGAGCTAACAGGGATAGTGATGTTCTTAATCAGGTCCAACAGGCATTGGCATCCATGTCATGCAAGGGTATTGGTATTCCAATAAAGCAACAGACTTGATGTTGAACGGAACTTTTTACACAATTTGGAGGAAATGTGACAATTCAGAGGCTAAAACTATTGATTCAAGACTAAAAATCTCATTCAACTGAGTGCCATGAGTTTTTAGTAGTGACAATATTATAAATCCAAAGTCTACACCCTCAACAAGACAAGTAAAGAGGTTATTATGCTAACCATGAGTTTCAAGGAGCAACATCATCTGGGGATCTTTTCTCCACAAGGATTACTTGTATTTTTACCTTTTATCTTATTTTCTTTACATTTTTAAGTTTTGTGTATGAATGTGTGGATGATTTTGGACCTTTGTGGGCAATGTTGTTTTGAACCCCCACTTTGGTATTCTCGGGAATGAAGGGTGTTGCCATATTCAACCAAGTCACCTACATGTTCAACTCATTGGAATTTAGGCTTCAAAACAGCAATGCCATTACCCAAATTCAGGTTCATACCATACCAAATCAGACTTGAACAATAATATGGTCTAGTGGGGATTCGCCTCTTGTTG